TCCACTGGTTAGATTAGCTCTCTGGTTTTGAAGTGCATTCTGCGCACAGTGAGCACCAGAAAGTCACAGCCCCCGCTCGAGTCCAGGCTGCAAAGGGCTCCTCGTGCCGAGGGGGAAGCTGACCTCAGTGAGGCGGCGACACTCGCTCGTCTCAGCTGGTTTTTACCTGCAACACTTGCTCGTCTCAGCTGGTTTTTACCTGGTTCTGCCCCGGGTGCTCACTGACCGCAGCCATCACAGCACTGTCTGACAGCTCCAGCACTGCCTTTCTGCAGGCGCCTCCTGCCAGCCCGGCTGCGCTGTGGGGGCATTGGCCCCCGTGCCGGGGGTAGCCGAGGAGGTGGCATGAGGATTTGAGCATGAATTAGAAAGGGGAGACAGTTCAGGTCTGGAACTGCAGTCACGATTTGGCTTCACCGGAATTCTGTGGACTTCTCTTGTGCAATTCCCCTGCCCACAAGAGCAGAAATCCTACCCTCCCCTGGTCATTCAGAAAAGATTTCCTCCTGAGCAGGAAAACAACCGCTTCTGGTTTGGGATCTCAGCTGGAGTTAGAAACATGCAGGATACTGACCCAAATCCCCCTGTAATTTAAGGGGATTCCTGCCCAAAGTCCCCATCCTGTCTCACCACTAATTCCTGAAGTAGCAAATAATTTTCATCTGAGTATTTGAGAAATTGAGTCTCCAGGGAACCGTTACGTATAAAGCAGTATTCCTGGTGTTCATTACTTGTATTATGCGCATATAATAATTCTCAGGGTTCTGCTTCACTGCTTAATAGCTCGATTACCATGAAATAAAGAAAGGCATCAAGGGCTGAGAATGTAGCTGGATGGCTCTTTACAGCATGGTCTAAAAGGCATGTGGTGCTAAACAGGTGTAAAAACAAACCCAAAAATTTGTCAGAGGTTACGGCTGCGATGCAAGGCATGTATTTTCCGATTGCGCCTTGCCAAAAGGCATTCTTGAGAGATTGCTGCCAGAAAGAGCTTGTTAAAGTGACATCAGAAGAAAAACACTAATTTACGACGTGTGCTACATATTTTTCAGGAGCCTCAGCTGTCAAAGGATAACGCTGCATAAGAATTTGTTTTTTTCTTACGTGCTCAACTCCATGTTTACGATTGCCCACCTGATTGCGGTTGTGCCTAACCCGGGCCTTGTAAAAAGGGATCCTGTAAGTACTGCATGACTCCTCTCCACCTTAACACCCAGGTAAAACCACTGTGGCCACGCCGAAACCAGCCATGCCCATTCACCAGTTAGTGATAACCATCTTGTAAAACAGGCACAGAGGGTGCAGAGTCTGAGAGCTTCTCAGCCTTGCTCAGATCGTTCCCCCGGCAATAAAAACCTTTGAATCTGGTACAAGAAGCCTCAGACTTGCTCCAGCCAGTACATGTACCCTGCTAAAAGGTCGGTTTGCTGCATTTTTTTCCTCGGGAGGCGGTACGTCAACGCGACAGCTTGCTCCGCTGCTCTTGGGTGGCAGCACGGACTGTGCCAGCCCCTCCGCCGGTGACCATGTCTGGCAGATCTCCGCCACCCGGCTCTGGTCCTGCCCTCTGACAGAGGAACCGCACCGTGCTTGCTGTCATCACGGCAGCCCCGGCTGATGTGAAATTCATGCAAGCCTGGGAGTCTCTCAAGTTATGTCACAACACTGATCAGCTTGTGTTCTAATAAGATCGTTCAATTACGGTTCAACCATTTATCCGCTTCTAATTTTGTGAAAGCAATTAAACATTAGCACCTGGCGTTACCTGATCACATGGGTGTCTCTCAAACGTGTGCCGATTAACTGAGCTAATTAAAGCAGGAGATATATAGACTAAAGAAAACATCACCAGTCCCAGGGACCATCTGGAGATTATAAAATAGAAGAGCAGAGGAATAATTAAAAAGTCACACATTTTGTTTCTCCTTACTGCATAGCATCATACGTACGTAGCCTATGCAAGAGATGCAACGAAAATACACTTGATATTTGAAGATAAAAAGCTGGGAGATGGTACCAGACACCTAAATTGAAGTAAGATCGTTACCTCAGGGTTAAGAATGATACCTCCTGACAGCAGAAGTAAATTATCTGAAGTGCTTTAAACTAAAAGTCGAGGCTGTGGCAAGGACTCTTTTGCTCTAAGATTTCATTAAAAAACTGTGTCTAGTCCCTTTGGGCTGGATCTTTATTTGGAGTGAAATCTTGACCCCAGTGAAGTCAACGACAAAGCTTTCAGAGGCTCTGGCAGAGCCACAGGCCAGGTACCGGCGCCGAGCATCACCGA